TTCAGCCTAGTATTTAATCTTCCATCTGTGCTCATTCTCTTAATATTTCATGCTAAGCTTCAGTATTTACTTAGGTCTCAGCCCCTTCCTCTCTGCAAAGTGATGAACTTTTTAATTAGAAGAGACTTGTGTAAGCTGCAGGAAATGGGGTTTTGGTTTTACTGCACCCTGCGACGTGTCTGGAGCAGTGTTGCTGCAGACAAGGCCGGGTTGGATGGGGCTTGAAGCAACCTGGTCTAGTGGAAGTTATCCCTGCCCATGGCAGGGGGCTGGAACTTTAAGGTCCCTTCAACACCACGTATGGCTGTAGGAAAGTCCCATTGGACTCATTTGCCCTTGACATCTGCAGCATCTCCCCAGGATGCAGGCACAGGTACGTGGTGCCCAGGTGAATGAGTGACAGAGGTGAAATACCCTTTCAACCTGGGATACACCTTGGCTTGCTCCCCCTGGATTTCTGCTCCTTTAGGGAATGTTCTTTGCCCTGGGAGCCGAATTGCTGCCAATACAATTGCAGCCAGATGTGCTGCTTGGCTCTGCTCTTGGGAAGATTGCATGTGGAAGCTGTGGATCTATGGGGAGGGGGATGCTCTGTGGATGGAAGCTTGTATTGAGCTGAACTGCTCCATGGGAGAGCAGCAGCAGGAGCAGTGCCTAGCCAAAAGGCTGCGGGAATAGGATTCAGTTTGCTCTCCTTTGGTTAAAAGCCATTTTTTCCCTTGCCTGTGTGTAAGCCAACATGCAGAGCAAAGCTGTGGATCCTTAAGGGGCAGCTCCTGTTTGGTTGTGCAGTCAATGAGCTGGCTGCACCTCCAGAGACCCGAGTCCTGTTCTTGGTCCTCTTTGTCTTGGATGACTTTGTGCAAATCATGGGGTTGTTCTGTCCCAGTTTCCTGCTTGTCAGTGGGGTTAATGCTTCCAAAAAGAAAACTAAGGTTAACTTAATTGCTGGAGAAGCCCATCACTGCACCAGTTGACTGTCATAAGTGCACAAGGTAAAGGCTGCTGACCAGCTGGTGGATACTGCCAGAGTGCTGGATAACTTCATTTTACTGCTGCATGTGAAATCCTGGCCATGCTTCACTTGAACAGTGACCTATGATCAACCCTGGTGCTTACACAGCCTGCATCCTGCAGTCAGCTTGTCCTACTTGGTGCGCTTAGTGAGTCACTTGTAATCGCTGTTCATCGATTAACAAGATAAAGCTCTGCAAGCTCTGGTGCCTTTTTGGCTCCTTAATCGGGCACTTTTTAAGGCAAAACTTGAATACGCAGCTCACTGTGGCTTAGGAAATGTTGAGATCCTTGTTGGTGAAGGAGAAGCTTCAGCATCCTTGGGGCTGTGACTCCCAAAACCCTGTCTGGAGAGGAAGGTTCTGCCTAGGAGCCACTGGATGGAAAACCTGCTTGGCAGGCTTCATGTGGCTGTGGGATGGAGATGCCTGAACTGCTGGGGAGGGCAAACCAAAGCTGTCCCATGCCAGCTGAGTAGGAAACCATGCATTTTGCAGCTCTGCATCCTCAATTGCCCCTGCTCTCCCCATGGCACAGACTGGGCATGAAAGAGGACGTTGCCTTCTCTTGATAGAGCCATCTGCTCTTGTCTGAGGAGCTGTGCTGGATGAGTTGGTAAGAGAAAACCTTTCCCATGCGTGCATCATGCCAGGTAATCTGCCAAGCTGCAGCACAGATCAATGCTGCTTGTTCTGCTACTGGTTTGCTCATGTGTGCATACAGTGTTGTATCAAGGAGGGAATACGTGCTCTCTCTGTCAGTGAAACGAATAAGGCATGCCTGGTGAACAGGGAGTAGCTTGTGTGGGCAGAAATGATGGAGCTGGAGAGAGGCAATTAATCTGTCTGACCCATCCTGCTGCTTCTCTTTGGCTCTAGGAGAATGGCTTATTGAATTTTATTATTTAATAATTAAGTTGCAGTAGTAGCAGAGGACGAGGAACAGGCTAGAAAATAGCAGAGAGAGAAAAACCAGAGGATTTCATTCCATAAATTGATGGCCTGATCTCTTGCGAGCTGTCACGTACCCACGGCAAAAATGAGCACTGTGAAATCACAGGGACACCGAAACCAGCTGGGGACCAAGAAAAACACTTGTAGGATGAGGTGGAAGAGGGTGGGAGTTTATCTGAGAAAAGAAACGGAGATGCACACATGATGCATCACATGTGCCGGGGTGCTTTTGTTCTCCCCAAGAGTAAGGTGCAGACAGGCAAGGAACAGCATTGACAGCAAACCCACCGGCTCCTCGTGGGATGTGCTCGTGCGGGGTCGGGGTGCCTGTGTTTATGGGACCTGCAGCTTGGGGTGTTTTGTACAGTTATTAACTCCCCTCCTGACAGACACTTCTGTAAACTTCTAGCTCTTAGAAAACATTGAGGAACAGCTCCAGAGAGCCTTCTAAATGAAGAGGTTCCATTCCCTACAGCGAGATGCCACATGTACGTGGCTGTCAGGCTCACCTTCAAATCCAAGGCATGGCAGCTCTGTGCTCAGGCTTTAGTGCCCAGGGCATAGAATCATAGAGCCATAGAATAGTTAGGGCTGGAAAGGACCTTAAGATCATCAAGCTCCAACCCCCCTGCCATGGGCAGGGACACCTTGCTCTAAACCATGGCACCCAAGGCTTCGTCCAACCTGGCCTTGAACATTGCCAGGGATGGAGCATTCACAACCTCCCTGGGCACCCATTCCAGTGCCTCAGCACCCTAACAGGAAAGAATTTCCTCCTTATATCCAATCTAAACTTCCCCTGTTTCAGTTTGAACCCATCACCCCTTGTCCTGTCACTACAGTCCCTAATGAAGGGTACATCCACAGCATCCCTATATCCCCCCTTCAGACACTGGAAGCTGCTCTGAGGTCTCCATGCAGCTTCTCTTGTCCAGGCTGAACAGCCCCAACTTTCTCAGCCCAGGTCCCACCCGGTTTGTAAACAGGATTGATCATTGTGCTCTGCCTGACAAAGGATGCGCGCAGGCATCGGGCGCCAGCAGCGAGGCTTTGATGCAGGGCTGGGCTGGGCTGCTCCCTGCAGTGAGGGGTGAGCAGGAGCCGGAGCTGCAGCAGTTACATGCAGCACTGGAGCCCATGAGCCCCTTCCCATCCTGACACTGCTCTCTGGGTGCACATCTCCCCATGGCCTCATGTCACAGCTTCTCTGGGCACCCTGTGCCAGCGCCTCAGCACCCTCACAGGGAAGAACTTGTGCTTAATGTCTAATCCAAATCAACCTCAGATACAGGGAAGTCTCTGTTTGTTACTTGGGCATGGCTGGAATGGGCCTGAGGAGCCCAAATCTGCTTCCCACAGGCTTTGCTTGCGTTGGGTGACAACAGCACAGGATCTGGTCCGGCAAAAGCAGGGTGGTTTTGTTGTGTCTCTTATGGATGGAAAGGAGAAGTCTCTGCTGTGTGTGGCTGCTCTCAGCTCTGCCAAGCTGCTGTCTGTCATGTGCCAGCAGCCAGGGGATGAAGGGACCATTGGGAAGACAAACCTCAGCCACGGTGCTGCGGTCCCTCCCTGTGTGTGACTGCACTGAGTTCCAAGGGCTCTGTGGTAGGTGGAATAACCTCCCCTTAAATGCTCCCATCTCAAGCAAGGATCCTGTCTGCCCTGTGCTGAGCCTGGTGCTTCGTCCTCAGCTCACAGCTGTAGCTGCCAGTTTTATATCATGCTAAAATTTAATGAACCGGAGTGCACCAGCATCATCTGCTTGGAAAGGAAGAGTCTCAGCAGCCAGCTCCTTAAAGATGATAAGAGAGGGACTGCGCTGCGGAGCTGCTCATCGAGGAGCTTTACAAGTGATTAAGTTTAAGCACCCCGGGAGGTGATGAAAGGGTAGGAGACAGCAGCACCACAGCAAGAGGATGCAGAAGCCAAGCAAAACACAAGATCCCGCTGAGCCAAACTCCTGCCAGCCCCTGCACCAGCTCCGGTCCCTGGCGCTGGGGCCACCAGCGATGCCAGGCGCGCACACACAAAAGGCTGTTTCCTTTTCAGATGTTTTAAGGTCAAACTGAAGCTGTCACCGGCTCCTTTATGGAGTTTTACAGCCTCTTTTTGTTGGGTTTGTAAAGTGGAAAGTCTTTCATGCAGCTTCTGGGTGTCCTAGCAGGGGGATTGCTTGGAGGCTGCACGCTACTCGTAGTGAAGATCAAGCAAACCCTTGTCCGGTGTGCGAGTTGTTTGTCCATCAAAGATGCTTTTCAAAGGGAAGCTTGGGGCTGCCCTGTTAAAGCAGATTGATCCTGCTGCTGGTTAACTGCAGCACGTACCCTGGTGCCCACAGTGGCTGTGTATGATGCAGTGATAAAGCTGTAGCTGCTGCTGACATGGCCTTGTGACTTGGGTTTGTGTATGGAGCTCTGGTGATGGATGAGGTCTCCAAGTTCTCCCTTTTCAATATTCCTCTCCTTTTGGGGTTGTTGCTGAGTCTTGCTATGGCTCTGGTGTCATTTCTGCTTTGCTCACCTGACATTTAAACCCGGAGCCGTGTGTTTTCCATATCCCGCATCTTTCTGCAGCCACCTCATCCTCCACATCCCTCCAGAGCCTCCAGCTCCCTTCCTGCCTTGTGACATCTGATCATTCCTCCCGCCTGGAAGTCAGTGCAGAGCTGCAGCATCCAAATGTCCCTGCGGGGTCAAACCAAAGGCACATCTTTCTTGGTGCCAGGGTCATGCAGGGCTGAAGGCAAGGAGCTTGGAGGGTTGTATTTACCAGCCAGTGGTAGGTAAAGGATGTACGAGAGTACAGGGAAATGGAGTCATCGAACATGCCCCAGATTCACCTTGTGGTATTCTTCCTTGTCCCATCCCTGGCAGTGCTCAAGGCCAGGTTGGACACAGGGGCTTGGAGCAAGCTGCTCCAGTGGAAGGTGTCCCTGCCCATAGCAGGGGTTGGAGCTGGATGAGCTTTAAGGTCCCTTCCAACCCAAACCAATCTGGGATTCCATGATTCCCATAACTCTGTCTGTCTTTTCAGCTTGCCTCCCTGGATTCTACAAGCTTTCCCCCCGTCTCCCTCTCTGCTCTCCCTGCCCTGAGCACAGCTTTACTCATGAGGAAGCCTCCACATTCTGTTCGTGCCAGAAGAACTACTCCAGGTCTCCGTCAGACCCACCATCTGCCTCCTGCACACGTAGGTCTCCCTGCAACATCTCCTTGGAAAGCAGGGGAATAGGGATCCAGACTGTCCTGCAGCACAGAGCCAGGGGATGCCCGGGATGCTGTCTGAGGCCCCATGCATGGGAGCTTCACTTGGGTACAGGGGAGTCCTGTCTGCACTGTGGTACTGCTGCAGCAGGGAGGGGATGTGGGGTCTGTCCCTGTGCCATACAGCTTGCTGAGGCTGCATGCTGGTGAGACAGACGTGAGGTCGGGCTTGTAGGCTCCCCAGTAAAACTTGAGCACAGTCATTTAGTCAATAGAGTTGACAGCTTTTAATTAAATGGCCTCTAGTTAATTGGATTGGACTCGGGCTTCTCCAGTGATGGATGTTCTCCAGTGATGAGAAACCCTCCTGCTCTGCCCAAGAGTGTGTGATGGGTGGTGGGGTCCCTGCAGCTGAGCCCCAAGGCGGTGCTGGGTGCTGTGTGAGCCGTGCCTTGCTGTGCAGACACATTCCTCCAGTGAGAATCCTCCCTTTGGTGTCCCCAGTCAATGCATCCACATCCCTTTGTGCTACCTGGGACCACGCACTCTTGCCGTGCCACCAGCGCCTATGCTGCTGCTCCCATAGGCTTGCCCTTCGCCCTGATGATGCTCCATGACTTATGATGCTCTTCTGCTTCCAGGCCCGCCCTCCGCCCCGAGGAACCTGGTCTACAGCCTGCGGCAGTCATCCCTGGTGCTGGAATGGAGCGCTCCGGCGGATGCGGGCGGCCGCAGCGACCTCACCTACAGCCTGTGGTGCGTGCGGTGCCCTGCGGGCGCGCGGGGCCGCTGCGAGCAGTGCGGCAGCAGCGTGGGCTTCGTGCCGCAGCAGACGGGGCTGGTGGAGCGCACCGTGACCCTCGTCAACCTCCTGCCCCACGTCAACTACACCATCCGCGTGGCCGCCCTCAACGGCGTCTCGGGCCTCAGCCCGCAGTACGCGGAGGTCAACGTCTCCACCGGCCTCGCAGGTACGGAGGTGACCCCTGAGGGTGGTTGTGCAGGGGGGGTTAGGGGGGTGTAAGGGAGAAGCTCTTCCCTGTGAGGGTGCTGGGGCGCTGGCACAGGGAGCCCAGAGAAGCTGTGGACCCTGTGCTGTCCATGTATCACAGTCAGTAAACTGCAGCAGGTTCGAGTCTGCTTTCAGGAAGGGAGAGGCAGCGCTGCTCTTGTTAAAAACAAGAGGATAAAGTCAGAATAGGGAATGGTTTGGGTTGAAGGGACCTTAAAGCTCCTCCAGCTCCAACCCCTGCCACAGGCAGGGACCCCTTCCACTGGAGCAGCTTGCTCCAAGCCCCTGTGTCCAACCTGGCCTTGAGCACTGCCAGGGATGGGGCAGCCACAGCTTCTCTGGGCACCCTGTGCCAGCGCCTCAGCACCCTCACAGGGAAGAGCTTCTGCCTAAGAGCTCAGCTCAGTCTCCCCTCGGGCAGGTTCAAGCCATTCCCCTTGGCCTGTCCCTACAGGCCCTTGTCAAATTGATTTAATCTTTCTTTTCTGCCCTGCTCTATGGCAGTTCCGTGCTCTTCCACCTCACGTCACGTTTATGTTCCCTTATGTGAGGGGCAGCAAGTACCCAGCCTAGCCCTGGGTGGCCAGAGGGGCTCGATCCCTTCTCATTTGTCAGCTGTGCCTAAGGAGAACCAGCTCTGCCTTGTGTCCTTGTCTGTTCCTCTGTGGTTATGTTATGAATTTGCATGAACCCCCTTTGCCAAGCCACAGTTAATGGAGATGGATGAGCCCCACGTACCTCTTGGCAGGAATTGGCCAACAATTTCATCTGAAGAGATTAAACTTTGATCTTGTTATAACTAATTTTCCCACCGCTTGATCAAGTGTTTGTGCACCCGTTGTTGCTTTCCCTTCCCTCCTGTCCTGGTTTCTGCGCATCCGTGGGGTGGATGCTGTGCTGCAGACTGCTCTCCGCTGCACGTGTCGCTCCTCATTAGGATCTGTGCTGTTCAAGGATGGATTTAGCTCTGGGAAGATCTTGTGTCTCCTGAGCTCAGGCTATTCCTGAGCCAGCGTATGAGCTCGGGAAGGGTAAGCTTGACAAGGTCTAATAATGAGCCATTCATCCAGAGGCTTCCTCCTGGCGTCAGGCAGAGGGAAGAGGGATTGAAGCTGCCTCCTCACCTGCAGCATCAGGTCTGAGCTGGGAACAAGAGGCTGGGTAAGGGCATTAAGTGCCTTGTGCTTTGTAGGGAGTGAAGCAACCGCTCCATCCCAGCAGCACATGCCTTAGCTGTTTGTTCAGTACAGCTTTTCTTTGGGGTAAGTGGGAATCTCAGCCCCTCACTCGAGGCTGCGTACTCCTGAAGGAGCTGAAATGCAAGTGAAGAATATGGCATAATTAATCTTGTGAAGTGCTCGGAATCAATGTCTCTTGTGGAGCTCTCGAGTCTCCGGATGCAGATGGTGGCTCACAATTAGCCAAGCAGCTGAGGCTCAGGAAGCTTCTTAGAACACTTCAATCTTGTGCTGCTGAAGGTGTCCCCTCCTGAGACAGCGCCAGGCTGCCCTGGTACCCAGTTGCTCTCCTTTGGCACTGTGGGCATGAAGCGACAGTGACGATGAACCTGCACCTATGGGCAAAGAGGGGGAGATGCTTGGAGAAAAGGAAGACTTCAGAGGTGTCACAAGCAGTGGTGACTTCCTTGGTGGCTGTGATGCGATGCGATGCGATGCTCTCAGAAGTCATTTACAGCAGCAGGGAAGCTGCAGCTTCAGAGGAAAAATTAAACAAAGACACAAGACCCTATTTAGCTGTCAGATCTCTGCTCCTCTAAATATAGCTGCGAATGCAGCTTTCACACTGCCCTTCCCCTTCAGCAGTCACAAGGGGGAATTAGCAGTTGTTCGTTGTGTTTGCGGGGGAAAAGAAGAGATGCTATTTAGTCTGCAGGAGGCCAAATTAATACTGTGTTTTTTCTAATCGGGCCCCAGCATGGGACTAAATAAAGGTGTTTGAGGAGAGAAGGGAGCTGTTTACCTGCAGGAGTAGAGCTGCATTAGCTATGTAAATGCCTGCTCTGGGACGATGTCATTTATATTCCCGGCAGGGATCGGCTCCGATCGTAAAGGGCTTTTAAATCTGTTGCAGATTAATAATGCAGCCAGTGCTGAAATGCATTCTCCTCTCTGAGACTGCAGGAGTGGTTTGTGCTGGATGAGGTCTTATGGAGTTCTCTGCTTGTGCAGCCCAGCCCCAGTGAGAGGGGACAATGAGTCTGCAGGATGAGGGTCTGGGCTTGTGGGGTCTTTGCCATCCATGCAGCAAGATCCACCCCTGGAAGAGCTTCATAGGAGCTGATGAGGCTGCTTTTTTGGTTTGGGAAGAAGGACCCTGGGGCAGGAGTTGCTTGGGGCAGTGGCCAATGCGTTTGCTGTGCTGGGGAGGATGCTGGTTGTCCCCAGTGCTGCGCTGCAGGGTGGCAGGGATGCTCAGGGTGATGGCAAGCTCTGTCCATCCGATGGCTGCTCACCCCATATGGGGACCAGCAGACAGCATCAGTGAATGGGCTGTGTCTGCTCCTGTTTGCTGTGTGTCTGCTCTGCTGCCCTGGCAATGGAAGGGTATGGAGAGAACATTCCTGGGGATGGGTGGGCATCAAAGAGGCTCTTCCTGCTGCAGGCGCTCTTGGTCCTGCTTCGTCTTAGAGAGGAACGGTGCTTGCTGTTGTCCCTCTTTGGGTTTTGGATGCGGTGGGTTGTTCATTGGAGGGACAGGGTGCCCACCCCTGGTTTTACTCCTTTCTGCCAGTAGACTTGTTAATTAAGAGGACTAAACCCACCTCCAGCTGAAGGGAGTGTATGAAATGAGGCACAGTGCTGAATAATTCAATGTTTGCTTTTTCAGAATAGAGGTAATGTTGGGGGAGCTTAAAATATTGATGGGGAACATGTTTTTTTTTCACAGTGTGAAATGCTTTATAGTCTGTGTGATTTTCTTTAATGCCTTTTAGACATATTTGAGGCTAGCGCCTGCTTTTCTGGCATGTACCATGGGTTCTGCTCTACAGCCCATCACTGAGAGTGATTATTCCTGATGACTTTGCTACCAGTCAGGACCACTTGTTGGGGTGTTTTCAGTCTGTTTGGTAGATTCAGACATACAGGAGGGCATCTGTGTGATGATTTATTGATGGGAATCATATAAACCAGCAAGGAGCACTTAACTTAGTTTACAGGAGCAAAACCCAAGCGGAGCGTTGGGCTGATCTCAGCTGCCCCTATCACTTGTTGTTCCATACAACACGCAGCGATGTGCGCTCATGCAGAGGCCAAGGGCTCGTGGTGGGGATTACCCTGCTGTTCAGTGATGAGCTGTGAGAGTGCTGCGTGTTCCTGTTTGTGCAGCGTGGGTCTGCAAGGTTCCACTCCAACAGCAACAGCCTGGACCAGCCTAAACCTGGCTCTGCTGAAGTGGAAACCATTTGGAGCCAAAGTGGGGCACATTCAGCCATGCTCATTATGGGTGTTTGAAGAGCCACAGGGGGACATGGGGCTTCCTGCTGGTACCAAGCTCACATGAGCACAGGGGGCTCCTGGCTGCTCTTTGGGCTCTCTCGCTCTTTCAGCAGCAGCCAAAGGGACCTGGAAGCAACAAGCAAATCATCATGAATAAAACATCAGGAGGACTTATTTTCTTCAGCAAAGATTAATGAGCTAAGTAATAACCACAGCATTTCACGGACACTTAGGTTGACTTTCCAGGGACTCCATAGGAATCTTTGTGGGATGCTCAGGGCCCAGCAAACACCCTGATTTTTGCAGGAGAAGCAGGACAAGCCAGAAATAGCTGATTTCCCCGTGCAGCTTTCACTGTGCTTGTGCAGGGTCGCTGCAGCTTGTTCACCCTGGTGTGCTCTGGTCCGTGATGCTTCCCAGGGTGATGCAGGGAGGACTGTGGCTTCCAGCTATGTCCAGGCTGATGCTGTGAAGGGCAGGTTGGGCAGCCCAGAGCCACACATTTGAGAGGCTTTTGTGCCATTTCCCATTCCCTCTTCAACCTGAGAGGAGACTTTCTGCCACCCAACCAGAACAGCTTCTGGCACTGCCCTGGGAGAGCTGTGAAGACCTCACCTGATGTGTGCAGCCCCGGGGAGCTCAGTTTTTCCAATGAATCCTAATTCCCTCACTAATGAATCTGAAGCAGAGCAAAAGCCTCCAATAGAGCCTTTATTATAGTACCAGGTATTTTATTTCCCCAGCACACGGCAGCCCCTTCCTCCCTGCTCTTCCTGGTGGATGCCCTGGCCATGGGCAGATGATCACATCTGAGCTGCTGCCGCCTTGCTCTGGGCAGGTGAGGGATGCTGTGTCCTTGGCTGGCTCCTGCGATGCTGCAGACTGTCTGACAGGTCCAGCTGGCTCTCTGCTGGTGCAGGAAGGGAAAGACTTTGGGAAGAGCTGCCGGGATGCTGCCAGCAGGCAGGGATGCTGCTGTACGGGCACTGAGCACAGCTCAATGGCTTGGAGGCAGGAGAAGGTGGTCAGAGGAGGAGACAGCATGGAGAAGGCTCTGGGAATGTGGAGATGAGTGCAGCAAAGGCACCAGGATCCAGCACAGAGCCTGTGGATAGCCGGGGACAGCGAGCTGCCGTGCCAGGGAAATCAGCCTGTTTGGTGCCAAACCTGGTTAACATGGGAAGAGCTGGCAAGTGCATCCCGCACAGTGAGATGAACTAAACGGGAGCACAGGTGCCAAAGCACGCTCCTGCTCAAAGAGGTTGTGCTTCCCAGAAACCCTTAGCAGCAGGTTCGGAGCACTGGATGTTTGCTGGTGCTCAGACCCCTCTGAAGCACCACGGGGGGGGGATTTTAAGGATTTTTAAGGATTTTCTGCCTGGTTTTGGTCCAAGCATTGCCAGCTGCCCACAGTTTACAAAGCTGCTGTGTTTTGCCACCGTTTTCTCCCATTGTACGATCATCAGTTTAGAATTTGCCCTGTTTCAGTCCTGGTTCAGAGCGTGGGAACTGGCATCTGCAGCAGAAGCACCGCTTTTCAGCTGTTTAAATTGCTGAAGTTTTCACTGTGGCATCACTGGGCAGAGGCAGAAAGGAAGTTATCAAAACTGCACACATTTGGGCTGGCGTGGGGCTTGCTGCCCGGTGAATGCCCCATCCCTGGCAGTGCTCAAGGCCAGGTTGGACACAGGGGCTTGGAGCAAGCTGTTCCAGTGGAAGGGGTCCTTTCACTTGGATGCAGGAGGGAACCTCACCCCCTGCTTTCCTCTCTGCTTTTTCAGCATCGAACCCTATCACCGGCATCCGCACCGATAAAGTGGAGCAGAAGAGCATCTCCTTGTCATGGCAGGAGCCGGGCTTCCCGACTACAAACAGCACCGAGTACGAGGTCAAGTACTACGAGAAGGTAGGATCTGGGGAATGGCTTTGGGGAATGGCTTTGGGGAATGGCTCCATCTCTTGGTCATGCCCCAGCCAGCTCCATGTGCAGTCTGCCCCTGACCATCTCTTAATTTTAAGCCCGGCTTTTATTTGACAGGGGGTGAGATTTTGAGAGCAAAAAGCATCAGGCAGGGAGCAGGGACAATGCTCTAAATCCAAATAAATGCGGTTTATGAGACAGTTCCACAAATTACCTTATCTGCGTGTGCTCAGGCTCATTATGGAACTGATTGCATGTCAAGCAAACCGCGCAGGTGACATGGTGACGTGCTGTATTTAGAAACAAGCTACCATGAAGCTGATTCATATTAATGTGATTTTCAGCTTCTGATAGATTTGAAAGGAGAAATCTGTGTGAGAGGGCGAAGGCTGAAGCCCGAGATGGTAATTCCTGTGCAAATGGGCTGCAGCAACAAGATGCTCAGGGTATGTGAAATGAGGAAACATCCTGCTTGGGCAGGGAATTTGAACTGGTTTAGTAATTATTGACTGCAGTGAGGCTCTTGATGCTGACATGAAAATCAACTTAGTTCCTAATCTTTGCTTTTAAAGCTGTATTTGAACCGTGGAGATTCAAGGGGGAAAGCGTATCAAATGGCAAGTACATTTCACAGTGGTGTCCCTGCGTTGCTGCACTGGGATGCTCCTTGGGACTGATCCCTTGTGTTAAGGAAGGTGCATCTCACACATATGGGATCTGAGGGAGGCTGATGCTGGGACAGCATGACACAGCCCAGCCCTGCTCACAATGGGAAGCAGCATCAGATAACCTGGTCCAGGTCTCATCTTCTCACTGGGGAACTCAGTCAATGGTACCCGACATGGCTGAGAACCATGGGAAGCTTTGTGGGAGCCATTGGAGCTTGGGTTGCTTTGCAAACCCACCTGCCAGCTTTAATTCCTCAGTGTGTGCTGATACAGGGGTGTTTACTCCAGGGCTTGAGTGGCTGTAGCAAGGGAGCAGGAAAGGACCGGAATGTACCAGCATCCTGTCCTGTGGCTGTAGCAAGGGAGCAGGAAAGGACCGGAATGTACCAGCATCCTGTCCTCTGCCTGTTTCCATAGCACATCACCAGGCTCCGTCTGCTATTTTGTGTGACCTTTCCATGTAATTTCTATTAATGAGACATCCAGCAAATGCATCCTTTCTGTTGAAGGCTTTCTGTTCAGATAGAGTGTCCCGATGGGACCCAGAGGCGAGGGGAAGATCCGGTGGTGCTGTGCCTGCTTTGGGGCATGGCAGTCAGTCCAGCTCCGTCTCAGGTATCTCATTATTTCACAGGATCAGAGAGATCAGAGCTACTCAACTGTGAAGACCACATCGACGGCCGTGACGGTCAATAACCTGAAGCCTGGCACCCTCTATATTTTCCAAATCCGGACATCCTCCTCTCCGGACTATGGGAACTACAACCCCAGCATCGAGGTGGAGACGCTGGCAGAGTGTAAGTGCTGGTACCTGAGACACGAGGGAGGCTCTTTGAGCTGAGCCGTGGGGATGCTGCTGCTCCCTGCTCCTGCCCCGCTGGAGCAGCATCTCTGCCTCTGGTTCCTCTGCTCCGGGTCTAAGGGGATTGCATTTAATTGCATTTCCTATATGATTTTGAGCCCTGCCTCTGCTCTGCAGGAGTTTGTCCTTGCTCTTCTCAGTGCATCAGTGACCTGTGGACACAGTCTTCTTTACTGAGATTGCCCAAGGAAGTGCTCAGCAGAGGCAGTAACTGGGTGCTGGTTTGCCTTGGTGTGATGTTGGTGCTGGAACAGATCTCACCAGGTCCCTTTTGTGGTGCCACCAAACAGGCACTGGAAGGGAGCGAGTGTTGGTCCCCAATGGTATAAATGCTGAGAGCACAATCCTGCCCAGGGCTTTCACAGGCACAGCACAGGAGGCAAGACCAGCCTGGAGATGCAGCTGGCCTTGGATGCACGCCCCACATAGGCAATGACTTTACCCCCACTGCCGCCCTGGCTCATGAGGCACTTGGCTTGTTAGCTGTTTGGCTGCATGAGGTCAGCCAGCATCAGTGTTATTTGCTGGGGCTTTTCCTTTTCACAGTTTCCATTCATAACTGTAGTCCAGAAGCATCTTATTTCACTGATTTAAAAGAGGGCTTGGAGAGACGGTTGGGCTTCAGCTTAATAACCCACCCTGGCTAGAAATGAAAGCCCTGAGATGGCTGGCTCAGTACGACTCTCACAGATTGTGTTTAACAGGGCTTTAAATTGCATCCATTTGCCACACAGAAGACATTTGCAGAATGAATTGAAACCAATAAAATTTTTATATAGAATGTAGCTTTCTAATACCCCTGTTTGCAAAAGCAGGAAGGGAAGGGATTAATGTGATGAAGAGAAACTATTTGTAAGCTATAAATTTTAATATGCCCCTCTGATAAACAGGAACCTTTCCTCAGCGCTGATTAACAGGACCAGGAGCCTGGTGTGGCATCGCTGGGGCTGCTCCATCTGTGCCTGCAGCACTGCCCTGCACGCTGGTCTCACTGCCTCGGCTCAAGGGCAGTAAAACTGAACCAGAATGGGAATTGTGAGGATGGGGAAAAGCAGCTTGGTGCTAAGGGTGGGTTGTCCCATCCTTGCTGGAGGATGCAGCCAGCACTGGGAGGAGCAGCCAGGGCTGCCCCATTGCCCTCCTGGGTTGCATTGCTGACCACCTCGGCTTCCCTCCCGCAGTGTCGGTGGCCTCCAGCGAGCAGAACCCTGTCCTCATCATCGTGGTGGTGGCCGTCGCCGGGATGACGGTGCTGGTGTCCATGGTGATCGGCACCATGGTCTGGAGGAGGTGAGCGGGGCTGGGGCATGGACCAAGGAGGACCAAAGCCAAGTTGCCCTACAGCAGGGCTCTTGGGAGCATGGGGCAGTGATGGTTCTAAGCATGGGAGCTGGGTTGAGTCTGCTGGGGCTGGGCTCTGCTCCTGAGCACTGTGACTTGAGGCTCTTACAGCCAACGAGAGGCTGCTGCCCATACAACAGTGTGCATCTTCATTCTCATTGCAGACAGTGTGGATACAGCAAAGCCAGCCAGGATGGGGATGAGGAGCTGTACTTCCATTGTAAGTGAATCCTGGCCACCATGGCTGGTGTGGCTATCCCTGCATTTATTGCTATTAATAACACAGCTTCCAACAAAGCAGCCCTGAGTCCTTCCTTTTGAAGTGCTGTCATCCTGCATTACCCCAGAGCAGGGGCTCAGCACAGTGAGGCTCCCTGGGGACAGCAGGCTTGGCAGCTTCCTAAGCCAGGGTCCATCCTTCCTGCACACGGGTCGCTGCTGTGCCGAAGGAAATGGGGATGCTTCAGCTTTCCATGGGCTGTGTGAATCATTCTGTCAGCTTCCCCCAAACGGCTGCATGAGAGCACAGCTTTTGTTTTCTGGGGCTACTCTTGATTATTGAGCATCAGTAATTAGACAGACAGCAGCCGTCAAAGGAAATTCAGATATCAGGATTGATGAGTTTATCTGATTCCTGGCATATGCCCATGAAGCGTACACATGCTCTTGTGTTCCCCGATGCATTTCAGATGCAGCAGAGCCTGCGTGCTGCTTGGATTCAGCTTGGCTGCTTCATAGCATCACAGACTGCTTTGGGTTGAAGGGACCTTAAAGCTCCTCCAGCTCCAACCCTGCCACAGGCAGGGACCCCTTCCACTGGAGCAGCTTGCTCCAAGCCCCTGTGTCCAACCTGGCCTTGAGCACTGCCAGGGATGGGGCAGCCACAGCTTCTCTGGGCACCCTGTGCCAGCGCCTCAGCACCCTCACAGGGAAGAGCTTCTGCCTAAGAGCTCAGCTCAGTCTCCCCTCGGGCAGGTTCAAGCCATTCCCCTTGGCCTGTCCCTTTGCAAGCAGGTCAGCCTCCATGCACACTCTTGTCCTGGATGTGCTCCTGGTGCAGGATCACTGCCCCTGCAGCAGATGGTAGGTGCCTGTGGGAGGATTTCCCTGCCCGTGCTGTTAATGGAGGGGTCTCGGAACATGGTTGGTTGTGATTATTTCTCCTAGAGGTCTTGGGAATGGGGGTGATCCGGATACCTGAGGATTAGCATGAGTGGCTCGGTCAGGGAGAGAGCTGCACTAGGGTGATGGAGCTCCTCTCCTTTAACTCAGGGGTTGTGGCAGCGGAGCAGAGCAATGAGTTTCATTTAATCCCACAAGGAATTTCCTAGCAGCCTGACATCAGAGTCTGTTGCTTTACTGATAAAAAGGTGGCAATAACTTGGTTAATGATGGATAACATGGGGGACAGGCTGAGCCCCTCTCATGCACCTTTCTGCCTTCCCTGCAGTTAAAATACCCACCAGGAGGACATACATCGATCCTGACACTTGTGAAGACCCCATGCAGGCCGTGCACCTCTTTGCCAAAGAGCTGGATAACGCTAGTATTAAAATTGAGAGGATCATTGGGACAGGCAAGTTCCTTCCTGCATCTCCTCGTCCTCTGGCACCATGGACTTTGCCCTCACAGATGCTTGCAGCAGGGCGATGGGAGTGTGGTGCTCGGGAGCTTGGTTTTGCATCCCTGTTTGTTTTTCCGAGGCACTAAGCACGGGCAGGGAGTTTGGAGCAGAAAGCATCAGCAATTATCTGCATCTGGGCACTTTGACAGCAGCGTGAAAACTATTTATAAATACGTGAACCTAATGATTTATTGATTTTCATCAACTTTGCTGCCTGAAACTTAAAAGCAAATTAACATCCCCTCGGTGGGCCCTAGAGCCGTCCTCGCTAATGTGAGCCAGGACATGGGAAACGTGAGGATCCTTGGCCGGCTCTTTTCCTAAAGACAAATTCAGCTGCAGAAGAAGAGGTGGAGGAAGGGAAGAGGGAAGGGCTTTGCCTGCCAGCTTGAAGGACAGGGTTGAAGGGAGGAGGACACGGAGGAGAAGAGGAGGTTGTCTCTGTAGCTGCTGAGCGGGGCAGCTGAGAGGAATCCCACATCCCTTTGAGAAGCAAATCGGTGTTTGAAAGATCAAGGAGGAAAATTAACCAGGAAGACATTTCCATGGAAGGAATTTAGGAGTGCATTTGTCTTGTGTCTGACCTAAAAAGTACCTGGCTTTTAAATCAGGAAAGCTTTTCTTAGCTACACGTTTTGCTATAAAGCCAATATTGGCCTTTTATGTTATGAATTTGGGTATGAATAGCTCCAGTTGTCAAGTGCGTGGCTGTGCAGAGTGGGATGTTCTGCCTCATAGAATCATCATAGCATCCCAGACTGATTTGTGTTGAAAGGACCTTAAAGCTCATCCAGTTCCAGCCCCTGCCATGGGCACTTGAGCAGAGGTGGAGAGAATGGCTTAGAGGTGTAGGAAGAGGAAGAAGCAGCTGCATTGCATGATCGCAGGTTTTTAGCATCACATGCTGATGCTAAACTTGGGTGAAGGGTTGTGTGTTCAGCAAAGGTGGGGGAAGATGTTAAAACAGGCTCTGTGGGGGAAACTTGCAGCCACGCAGGGCTCCGGGTGTTTGAGTTTATGGATTGGCAAATCCTCTGGTGAGCAACGGGGAAGTCTTGCTTGTCGACACAGCAAGACGCATCACTTGTGCCCCACAGGAATTCATTTTATGCTTCCAAAGAAAGGGAAATGTTCCCTAAAGGGAACAGGCTTCCAAGAGGAGGACTGCTGCCCTTTGCTTTGTGACAGGTATATGTAGAAGCTGTCTTTATAAAACATCACCCTCGCACAATGCTATCACGAGAGGAAGGAGGAAGTTGCTCCTTCTTTCACTGTCTGGAGCTGGCCGAGGGCAGTGTGACAGCCCGTGATGGAGTGATGCGACCGTGATTGCAGGGGCAGGGGTGTGCTGATGGCCAGGGCTGTGGGACCATGGATGCCGTTAACCCATCTCTCTGCTGCACAGGGGAGTTTGGAGAGGTCTGCCGAGGGTGCCTGAAGCTGCCCAGCAAGCGGGAGCTGCCGGTGGCCATCCAGACCCTGCGGGCAGGGTGCTCGGAGAAGCAGCAGCGTTCCTTCCTGGCGGAGGCGTGCACCATGGGCCAGTTCGACCACTCCAACGTCATCCGCCTGGAGGGGGTCATCACCAGAGGTGAGGGGGGGGGACATGGGCTCTGTGACACAGTGCAGGCAGTGTGCTGAAGCTGTCGCTTTGGAGTGGTACCGTTGGCTCTAGAAATGAGGGGGTTTCCTCCTGTATTTGCTGGTTTAGCCTTCTGCTGATTAATAAAATGCTCCTAGCTAGATTAATACATCCAAGGAGAGGGACTGGCTGAAGAGCAAAACTGTGCACTCTTAATAAAAGCAAATTGAAGTGAGGTTCTGTCAGTAAAACAGATGACTCTGCTCCCGGCTCTTGCACGCGCTGGACCGCTCTGCGGATGCTGTAGTTAAATGGATATCCATGTAAATCCAAAGAAACGTGAGCAGCTGTGCTGATTTAACTGCCCCTTTTTATTAGGTAAGGAAGTGTTTCTGTCCTGAGCCATGGGCTGAGTGGGTTGCTTTTGCTTTCACTGGGTTGTGCTGTCCTCCTTCGTGATGGGGTTTAGTGTCCTGGTAAAAGGAGCATCTCGTGGGATGCCAGCTGGGAGAGACAGGAAAACCTCGGACCCATTGCTCATTGAAGACTATCCTAAGATGAACTCCTTGTCTTCCTTAATAGCCAGGCAGCCCAGGCTGACCGTGCTGGATGTCAGCACCCAGGTTTCTAGCACCCACAGCATCAGCATTGCCTAAGCCGTGGGCAGGACTCACTCAGTGCTCCTTGTCTGTCCATGCAGGGAGCACCATGATGATAGTGATGGAGTACATGGGAAACGGGGTGCTGGACTCTTTTCTCAGGGTGAGTGCTGTGGGAGCTGGTGGGAGCTGGGTCTGTCACCCTCCCAGTGTGTGCTGGGGAGGCCTCTCGATGTGGGCATTGCTCACCTTTCCCTTTTCCTCCTCTCATCCTCCAGAAACACGAGGGGCAGTTCACGGCCACCCAGCTGGTTGGCATGCTGCAGGGGATTGCCTCTGGCATGAAGTACCTGGCAGAGATGGGTTACATCCATAAAAACCTGGCTGCCCACAAAGTCCTCGTGAACAGCAGCCTGGCTTGCAAAATAACTGGTTTCCGACGGCCACAGGAGGATAAGATGGAGACCATCTTCTCCACGATGGTAAGCTGCCTTTCCAGGCTCCGCTGGCAATGCTCCCTGAAGGCAGACTGCAGAGGTGGATCTCCCTGCCTGTGATACATGGCTACGGCCAGGAGTGCTTGGACAGAGGACAGAGGGCTTTGCAGCCTGCTCTGAATGCTGAATAAGGATCAAATCCAAAGCCAGCCAGCTTCCACAGGTGGAGTTAATAAAACACACAGCAATTCCACTCCAGAACCGCTATTTTTCCTAGGCTCCCACTTCCTTCCCCATGTATGGATGCTGGCTCTGCATCTTAACAGCTTCTTTCTCAGCTAGAAAACAAAAGCGTTTAGGCAGGAACTGCATGGATCTGCCCAGCTCTGCTCTTCCCATCCTCTGGCCACAGCCCTGCTGCATGTCTGTGTGAGTGGGCAGAGGCACTGGGTGGCTGGAGGCAGCTCTGGCAGCCTCAGGGTCCCTCCTGTTTCCTCACTGTAATGAAATACATGGCTTTCAATTAAGAATCCAAGTCCTGCTTGGTTCACGCTTGTGCCAGGCACTGCAGTTCCTGATTAACTGTGAGCCCCTGGGCATAGACCCCATGGCACCCCATGGATCCCCCCCACAGGCAGCCCCTCACTGGAGCCAGCTCTCCATCCCTGCTTCTTTCCCACCCCTCTTTTGAGGGTGCGTTAATGAGTTTTGAACCGCAGAGCAATCGGATGGATTTCAGTTGGTACCAGCTGGGGCTGTTGGTGCCTTGCATTAACCAGGCATTCATATAGGGAAGAGCATCCATTCCTCAATCAGATGGGCACTTATTGCTTGCAGGGAGCATTGGGCAGCGCCAAGGAGGCAGCAGCTCAAGTGTGCTGGGTATGGAGCTGAGCGAGGGCGATGGAGAGCTCAGCAGGAGCCCTGGCTTCGCCCACCACGGTGCAGTGGGGCTGTGGCTTTGGGTCAGGGTCTCCCTGCTGTTAAGGACAATTGGCTGTGGTCTGTGACCTGCTTCCAGTAGTGCAACCAGAGGGCTCTGCAGACAGCGAGACAGGGACTGCAGACCGCAGGAGAACAAACCAGGATGGAGGGACTGTGTGTTTGCACAGCACTGAAGCCGTTTTCATTAAATATTAAGGTATAAAATGCCATCAGCTCTTCCCAGAGACATTCTCCTCTCCCATTAATATTTTAGGACTTGCATACAGTGGCATGGCTGTTTGCAAATAAACCGAGGCTAAAGTTTTCTGTTAGTACTAAACCTACACATGGCTCACGGGCTGCTCAGTGTCTGCCGTGATGAAGAGCTGCCTGTGAATGAGCTACATCCTGCTCATCCTTTCTCCCCTTCTCCCCATGCAGCGTGGGAAGAGCCTGGTGCTGTGGTCAGCCCCTGAAGCCATCCAATATCACCACTTCAGTCCAGCCAGCGATGTGTGGAGCTTCGGCATCGTCATGTGGGAGGTCATGTCCTATGGCGAGAGACCCTACTGGGACATGTCCAACCAGGACGTGAGTGCCCGTGGGGTAGATGATGGTGTTGCCGTTGCTGATGGTGTGCAGGAGGCTCCATGGGGTGTGGAGGAGCTGCCGCTGCCCTGATGTGGGGTATGGGTGTCCCAGGGGTTTGCCTTTGCTCTGGTCCCATCTCCTCACCTCCTGCTCCCCTGTGCCCTGCAGGTGATGAAGGCTGTGGAGGACGGGTTCCGCCTGCCCGCCCCGGTGAACTGCCAGCCCCCCCTGCACCAGCTCATGCTCGACTGCTGGCAGAAGGACCGCAGCCAGAGACCCAAGTTCTCGCACATCCACAACATCCTCAGCAAGCTGGTGCAGAGCCCGGAGCCCCCAAAGTGCCCCAGCTCCACGTGCACCAGGTGAGCATCCTCTTGCTTTGCTGCCTCCTCCTTTGCCCGCCAGGTCCCACTTCAGCCGTGCCACGTCCTCCATCCTCACCACCCTGTTGTGTTGGCAGGTCCCACAGCACCTCCATCCCCCTCACCGAGAGAACCTTCTCAGCCTTCCCATCTTTCAGCTCCGTAGGAGAGTGGCTGGAAGCGATCGAAATGGGCAGGTACAAAGACAACTTCACTGCTGCGGGCTACTGCTACCTGGAGTCGGTGGCCAGGATGACAGCCCAGTAAGTGGCTATAACCTGGCTATAACCTTGTGTCGCTGGGTGCAGCGTGGGTGAGCTCTGCTTTGCATTTAGTCAGGCAGCACTAAACAAGAGGACAGGTCTTCCAAAACCTGTCTCTAAGAGCTCACTGGTGGGGGTTGGCTGCATGTTGGAACTGGTCCAGAGGAGGGCCATGAGGATACTCAGGGGCTGGAGCACCTCCCGTATGAAGATAGGCTGAGAAAGTTGGGGCTGTTCAGCCTGGAGAAGAGAAGCTGTGTGGAGACCTCAGAGCAACTTCCAGTGTCTGAAGGGGGGCTATAGGGATGCTGGGGATGGACTCTTCATTTGGGACTGTAGTGATAGGACAAGGGGTAATGGGTTCAAACTGAAACAGGGGAAGTTTAGATTGGATATAAGGAGGAAATTCTTTCCTGTGAGGGTGGTGAGGCACTGGAATGGGTTTCCCAGGGAGGTTGTGAATGCTCCATCCCTGGCAGTGTTCAAGGCCAGGTTGGACAGAGCCTTGGGTGACCTGGTTTAGTGTGAGGTGTCCCTGCCTATGGCAGGGGGTTTGGAACTGGAAGATCTTAAGGTCCTTTCCAACCCTAACTATTCTATGATTCTATGTGTTGTGCATCTCAGTTGCTGTTCCCTTTCCCTTCCCAAAAGCAGAGTTGAATCTAATGTAGTTTACTGATTCTATGTTATGTGGACAGCGCAGGCTGGCAGGGTTGGGAGCTGTCTCATGCAGGGCATGCTGCAGGCTTGTGTTATCCCTGCATCCCTGGGACAACAGGTTGGGGCTTTCTTACTGAGGCCGGTCTGAAACCTGCACTGCCCTTGATGGGAGCTGTCGGTGTTGGGGCATTCAGAGCTGAAGCTTGTTTTCCATGGCGGCAGGGACATCCTCAGCCTGGGCATCACGCTGGCGGAGCACCAGAGCACCATCCTGAGCGGGATCCAGACCCTGCGGGCGCAGGTGATCCAGATGCACGGCCGAGGCGTGCAGGTGTGAAGCGGAGCCCCGCAGCGGTGCAGAGCACTGACCCGGGGAGCAGGCAGCCGCCCGGCCCCGCACCGGACCAGAGGTGGGATGTAGGGATCACTGAGCTGCTGCCAAACCGGCGGGGCAGGAGCGCAGGGCGTCAGGAAGCCGAGGATTCCCGGGATGCGTGCCTCGATGGATGTGGCTCTCCCTTGGCACTGCTGTGTGTGATGAGTCGAACTGATGATGCCATGGGTTAACAGGGTGGATGGACATTTGTGCGCTGCCTTAATCCAGAGCTGGCAGCGCTCTCGTACCTAGCATCCTACCGGTGAGATCCATGGGTATTTTTATACGAGCTGACACGTTCAGGCAACCCCACAAGGAGCTTTTTATTGCTTTTATTTTTAGAGCCCGGAGCACAGCTCCCACCCAGCGCCCAACTTCTGGAAGGTGACTTTCCCCATCTGCTATGCTGAAGGCAACTCTTCCCCAGCCACCTCCCTTCTGCTCTGAGTTACTTCCCTGTGTCTTGACGCCACGGTTGGAGAGCAGAACCAAAACACTCTCCACTGACGTGCAGAGCAAATGGTGCTGAATGTTTCTGAGGCTCTCTTGACAAGACAATTTCAAGGGAAGAAATGAAAGGCTTTGATGAAGGGAGCCATAACCAAGAGAGGTGAAGCAGTGGAGCCCTTGGGCTGCCCTGCTGATGCTCTCAGCCTTTTGTGCACGTCCCGGTCCCCATGGAGCCCAGCAGTGGGGTGGGAGCTCACAGACCAGAGCAGCAGCAGGCAGTGTGCCTGCCGTGTTATGAATAGCACTAATTCAACCCACAGCAGCAGCAGGAGCATCCCAGTTCAGCCAGAAATGGGATGGAAAGCCAGGAGCTGGTTTGAGGTCAGAGAGACATCAGGCAAGGCTGTGCTTTGGGAGGGATGCTTCCCATGTCCTCACTGCAGTGTACCCCTGGCCACTGGAAGGGATGCGTTAGCTGTGGTGAGTGCTCTTCCCTTCCTCCTCCAGTTGCCCCATTCCTGGCTGGGAGCAGGGAATGCCTGGCTCTGCTGTGCATGTTTTCCATCCTCACATCAATGGCTGGGCAGAGATCCATGGCCGAGGGCTGCAGTGCCAGCGCTCCCCACAGCACCCGTAGTGGGTTGCACCCCATTCTCTGCTTGCTGGAGGGACCACGCACCCCAGGTGGGCAGAACTGATCCTTGCATCCGTGGGATCCGTGGAATCCTGCTGTGCAAACCAGGGCACATCAGCACTTTATCCGTTGCAGCAGGAGCGCAGTACTGCCTGCCCTGCATGCTGGCAGCTCCCACTGCTGCAGGCCTGAGCCCTGATGGAAGACATAAATAGCATCTACTTAATAATACAAGTTTCCTTGAAGTTAGTTAATTAAATGGGTCTTTGCAGCCTTGTACGGAGTTTTGTAGGCCTTTTATTGCCATCTGTAAGTATTGCAAGTGAATTATTGATGATGAAAGGCAAAGATTTACAAAGGGAATGGATGCTGTGGGAGATGCTCACAGCACGGCTGGAAATCTGTTGGAGTCAGATCCTCCAATTAGCCTGCTCTGAGAGGATGAGGAGCTAAATGATGGTTGAGAGAAAGGCTTTAAGTGTTGGCACGGGCATCTTGGTTCCCTCCTGGTCAGGCAGAGCAGCGTGACCATAGGCACTGGTGGCAATGGTGAGCAAGCTCTCTCCTTCCTTCCCCCTCTGCACTTTAAGCAACGCTCCCCAGTGTCACTTGGTTGGTTTTACAGCAGACATAACTCGTCTTTAGGTTTGGCCCTTGCCTGGTCTGGTTGGTCGCTCTCCATCCCGCTGTTCCACCCCCAGAAGAGTAACAATGGTGAGCCGAAACCTTCATTTGGTAGAGATGCCAGATCCCAAGGATCAAGTGCAATTTGTATGCTCTTTGTGTTTACATTTTATCGATAGAGGAAGTCTATTCTCGTTCTCTAGGCAGGGAGTTGAACCAACTTGATTCTGGATCCTCACCCCCATTTCCCTGCTCTGATCCTGTCCGTTGGGATCTCTGCCCTGTGCCGGGATGCAGGGAGCCGTGCTGGAGGTCACTGCTGGATAGGCTTGTGCCATGAGAGCTCCATGCAGCTGCTTTCAGGAAGGTGCAGGGAAGCCCGGGGCTTTGTGCAAGGTGATGGAGTGCTCAGGGTCTGGGAAATGGACGTACCCCGATTCATGGCTCTAAGTCCCTTGGGAAGCTGCTGTTCCCATGCAGGCAGGGGTCCCTGCTCCACCAGGGGAGCTGGGCTCTGCATGGGGCTGGCAGCCCCACAGCTTCCCAGGCCATTTGCTTGTGTGGAATCATGGAATAGTTTGGGTTGGAAAAGACCTCAAGATCATCCAGTTCCAACCGCCCCCCCCGTGTGGCTGTACAATGCTAGAATAGCTCAAGTAAAACTGAGACCATCTTTCAATCATTTCTATAGCGTTTCCCCCACTGAATTAGGCTCCCTCCATTCCCCAGCACAATCAGACCTGAAGGTGTAATTTCTTTGTCTGTGTCTCTCTGGCTGTTCTCAAAAGGCATTCAGTGTTTAATTACTTCTCTGACTTATTCTGCTGGGAGCCTCGGATGTGGTCTGTGGATGGGAGCGTGCTCTAAATCAGCAGAAACAAGAGGTGTTTGCTTCCCTGGCCTCTCCTTCAAGAAAGAAAAGGAAAAGCACATGATGGAAGCCTGCTTTCTAGCCTAGCTTGTAGCAATAAACACTTTTAATTGAGCTCCCCATCAACAGTGGAGATAATAAAATGAGCAGATTAAGCTGTAGATTGTTGTTATGATTTTAGAATTAACTTGCAGCCTCCCAGCACCTCTCTTTGGGGAAGCATTCAATGCCTTATAATTAAATTAATTAGCAGCACTGTTTTGAAGCTGCTTGACCGAGGGAAATGCCTCACAATGAGTTTGGTCTCTTTGGCCATCCAGCCTCTGAGATGGCACAAGGCTCCTTCCTCCTCCCCGTGGTGTGGGGAAGCCCTCATCACATCGGTGCTAGTAAGGGTTCAGGGCAGGCTGACCACACTCTCCCAGTGCAGCAGCATCCGTGTTAATGGGCTTGTTCAGAGAAGAGAGCAGCAAGTGTTCTGTAATCTGTGGGCTTTGCTGGAGCTGATAAATGCAGTTACATGAGGATATGGTTTTAGATGCTCAGGCAGAGCGGAGGCCAGGTGTGAATCAGAGCAGCAGAGCAAATGTGTGTCTCAGCTCGTGTGTGGCCAGGACCATTGGCTCCCCTTGTACAGTGGGTATGCACTGGAAAGCAATCCTGATCCCAGCAATGTCCCGTTGGCTGTTGGTGCCTTGGATTGCAAAGCAGGATGGAGTTCCCATCACTGGAAGAGCAGCGCAGCAGCACTGCTGTCAGCAGCCAAAAGGCTGGGGGCTGTTGGAGGGGCAGCGACATGGACAAGGGGAATGGCTTTAACAGAGGGGAGACTGAGCTGAGCTCTTAGGCAGAAGCTCTTCCCTGTGAGGGTGCTGAGGCGCTGGCACAGGGTGCCCACAGAAGCTGTGGCTGCCCCATCCCTGGCAGTGCTCAAGGCCAGGTTGGACACAGGGGCTTGGAGCATCACCGGAACCCTGCAGCACCCCCCTTGCATGAAACCAAAACTGGAATCAAGTTGGTTCATCTCCAGATGCTTTTTGATATTCATTAACCACGTGTTATATACTGTAAATACATACTTGAGAAGGCAATATCTATTTTTCTAAGCTTGACACAAATGTAATATACTATCATAAGGGACACTGTGTGCATTTCATGTTTGAGCTATAGTCAGACATCTCCAGGGAATCACAGTTGGTTTTGAGTAATAATAATAATAATAATAAATGGTGATAAAGATCTATAGACATTTTTGTTAATTTTGTATTTATTGAACTATGGTTGAAGTTTGCAATAATGAAATATCCCAATACCTAAGTAAAGCCAACCACTCGTTCTGCCCTGGCTTGTCTGTGTGGGTCCTTTCAGGTGTTCTGATGCAAAGTTCCGCTGTAGCAAGGGTGGTAAGGGTCAGGTAAGGAATGGTTTTAGGAGCAACAAGGTGTGAAATGACGCACTGTTTTATTGACTAGCCCCTGTGCTAAGATGGGAGCTGATTGCTCCTGTTGTGGAGGTGGAGCTCAGGATGGTGGCTTCTTGCTGTTAACACTTTGTTGGCGGGGGGTAACACTGTTTAACTAGTACAGCATGTGTGTTTTGTGGACATAAAGTCCATTGGTTGTCCTGATGCTTTTGGCACAGGCAGGAATCCCTCCCATCACCCGGAGGACCAGATAACCTTGGAAGTGCTCCCAGCATGGAGCTGTCAATACCAGCGCAATTGTCACTCTAATATACGTGTTGCAGTGTTTAGCGCAGGGATGCTGCTGAGCAGAGGGAAAACACTGCAGAGCTCTGTGCTCGAGGCATGCCACTGACTGCCTGAGCAGGGTATGGCCAGCATGTGAAATGCAAACAGTGCACAGGTAATACTGAGCAACAATTCAATGCAATGCCCAGTGCTTCACATTTCTTCTCTTTTCCCCAGGGTGCTTGATGCCAAAGTGCAGGTACAAAGGTCTCGGTCTGGGATGCTGACAACAGTGACAGCTGCTGGGGAAAAGGAACTGAATGGGTGCTTAAAATGGGTGCAGCCTATTTGCCTTCTGTCGATCAATTAATTCAGCCAGCTTTCACTAGGAGCCTGGCCAGGGCTCTGTTGGCACTGGGAAGAAATAATGAGAGCTCTGAAGCAGGGTTATGAATAGTGGATTGCGACTCGCAGCCAAGCAGATGGATTCTGTGCCCTGATTTATCTGTGCTCGTGCCTCCTGTGCTCCATGGGTAATGGTGTGACCTTCCTGGGGGCTGTGGGACACCTCCTTTCATGGCTGTAACGGGGGGTGCTGGGGACACCCAGCATAGGCTGCAGTGGAGGACATGGGGGTCTCCAGCTGCAGACATCGCCTGTCTTCAGGGCTGGTGGGCAGGCAGGAGTGATGGCATCACCACCGCCCTGTTGTGCATTGCACAGGCTGACCTTGAAGATGCTGCTCCTTCTTCCCCCATCCTCTGCTGGTGCCACGGAACAGGATATTTCCTGCAGGATGGACCAAGGGAAACTTCTCTGCATGGAATTCTACTTCCCTGATCTGAAGTGTCCAAGGCCAGGTTGGACACAGGGGCTTGGAGCAAGCTGCTCCAGTGGAAGGGGTCCC